TGAGCACTCCCAGATTCACATCCTCTGCAAAATCTCAGCTTTCTTCGAGTCTGTATCGTATTAGCGACAACATCCACTTCTCTCTCCTCGCTCCCTCATTCCCGACGCACTGTCGCTTAGGACGAGACAAGTGTGGATCCCGCGTCCTCGGGTGCGAGAAGGCGTTCACGTCTCCAGGCTCCCTCCGCCGTCTCGGGTACCCAGAGACCCACCCGCACCACGGATCCTGGCACCTGGACTCGGGTACCCTATCACCAAGATACCCGGTCCCGACAATCCTCTTCGCTACTCTAGCGCCTCACCAAAGTCGCGAAGACTCGAAACTCGGCGCAAAATCCATCCCGAAACGGCGTCCATGGCTCCTCGACCTCATGACACTCACACCCGACGACGTGCAGCGATCCCGATCCCGACGGCTGTCGTCTTCGCCTTTCGACAGCCTCGCTTCATGCTCGAGGAATATCCAATTTTCCCTCAAAATTAAGCCGCTTCAGGAACCATTTCGAAATGCGAATCGGTGGCCACTTTGGCAGACATCCGGGATAGTCTCGGATAGAACGAATTCGAGGTCGTTCGTCCGGGGTCCGTTCAAGGCTTCACCGAGACGATAGAGACGACAAATATGTAAAAGAATATAATATATAAATACCGAATGGAAGACGACTCCACAAAATGTCGCTATCAAATTTGCTAAAATCCTACTTCAGTGACAAGTATAATTTTATCTATTTATTATTTTACCTTTTGTTGGTGGGCACTCGACGCAAGCAAGTCCATTCGCGAAAGGAAAGATTTTAAATAACAACGGATGCGGCAGATATATATATATATATAAAAAAGGCTGAATAGAGATGCCGGGGGGAGGGGGGGGGGGCATATTTCACGGGAAGGACGCTTTTTCCAAAATGTTGTCGCTAATACGATACAGACTCGAAGAAAGCTGAGATTTTGCAGAGGATGTGAATCTGGGAGTGCTCATTTTAAGGGAAAATGATACTTTAGAGATTTCATCTACAAGGTGCACATTCATTTGGGGGAACTCTTCCATAATAATCGATCAATATTTCGCTCTAGCGCAGTGGTTCTTAACCCCTGGGTCGCGACCCAAAATTGGGTTGCCAAGCCATTTTGAGTGGGTCGCCAAGGGTCTCCAGTGACGGTCCGAAATTTCACATACCATTTATCACAAGTGAACTGTTTGAGGGCATGGGTCGCCGAACCAGCCCCGCGACTGGAATTTGGGTCGCAGTCAAAAAGGGTTAAGAACCACTGCTCTAGAGAATCGAGCGCAGAGAAAACATGTTCCGGGAATATATAAACAGTCCCTGAAAAGAGTTAACGCTGCAAGAATTGATTTTTCTTGTACCATATTAAATTCGAATGAACAATTTTGTGGCAGTTAAAATGAGAAGAGGCTGTGCTTTCGATTGCTGAAGCCTGCACGAAGACTAATGAACTCAGAGGCGAGGCACAAAAAGACAAACTTCACATTAGCAAAATTCTGACATGCTGGTGAACCGCTGCAAGAAGAAGAGAATCTGGCAAAGCAAATGTCCTGCTAAGAGATCCTTAGGGAAAAGAGTGGAGTTGGTGATGATTTACGCAAAAACAGATAACGGCTTACGGTACTCGAGTGAGATTACCATGCATAACATCCAAATTGGCCAAGACCGTCGATCTGCTGCATTTCAGATTTTATAGCGATTCCGTGCATCAGTCAGTATTCTCGATGCTAAAACAAACAGACTGGGTGGCAATAGGAGAAGCTGGTCAAACAGGACTTCTAACCCAAGTTTTCCCACAACCGCAACAATCAACGCGAGAGACGTTGAGAGCTATGGGCATTGGCAAAAGGCAGCGGCGGCTCGTGATATTCAGCAGTATTGGATCGTTAATGGCGGCAGGGTAGGCTCGGGCCTACCCTACCTCCATTGAGAAAACACTAAACGCTGAATACCACGAGCCGCCCATGGTGAAAGGTTAGTCAGGAAGGAAGATTAAATTCATCGAAAATTCCTTAGTTCCCGCACTTTTTCACTACCCTGTATATATGTCGTATGCAAGTTGACCTTTCTGTGCAAGCTGAACTTTCACAGAATATAATGTAACTTGAACCCATCAGATTTTCCCCACACATGCTAACTTGCACGCTTCCTTTCTTATGCAAGTTAACCTATACGATGGACTTGTGTAAGTTACCCGGGAGGAATTTCTGAATCCCTAAGGATGTACAGTCGGACGATTTTTATCGAGAATACAGGCCTGGCCATGGAAAAACGGTAGGGGTTGTCTTCATCCTTTCGCTTTAACTGGCAGCCTTATTCTCCCTCACCTTCCTAAGGGCGATAGAAGTGAGAGTGAACGTTCTCGTTCTGTAATGAACGTTAATAACAAGGAATCATGTTTGACCCCATTTCAGATGAAGTGTAAGAAATTGCACTTCGGTCGTCCGAAGGTTAACTGAGGAAACAGCAGAAGAGTTGATGAATTGCCTGTCCAGCCTCTACTAAGCTGAATATTTATTTACATGCTGGGGAAATCGGACTCGTGTGCAATTCTGCCGGATTCTCGGAGACGTCCAGATGAATCATCGGGTACAAATTTTTTGCAAGCCCAATAGTCTGCAACAGATGTTATCTTTTCCGAAGCGCATTGAGGGCGTTAAACATTTCGGCTGAACTACTTTGAGAAACGTTCGACTCGGGTAGGTGCACCTTTGGGAATTCAAGACTTCACTAAATTACTAATGCATATGAAGCATCCATTTTCGAGGTTCACACTCACCAATGCAGTGAAACTCCTTCGGTCATAGGTATCTTCCATAGTGGTTTCAAGTTACTTCTGGTCTTGCATAGTCATTGCCAACCTAATGTTAGCAATATTAAGCATGTGGAGATACTTCCTTTCCCCCCTGAAATTACCCCGTGGGGGGAAATTCCTTTCAGGAGTGCCTTTTATAGCACAACTTTCCTTCCTTGCCTTCCTTGAGAAAAAATTCGTAAGGTCATCCTTTCCCCACCTCAAAAGGGAACCAGAATTGAGGCAGGAACCCAATCTTGAGTGTTCCCCCCAAGCCGAATCATTCCTTCAACAACATTTAGAAGAATGTAAAGTTTCCAAGTTTCATTTTGCAAAATATTTTGGCGAAAAGACCCAAAAATTTATGCTTCCAGGAGATATTTCCCCAAAATAGAATCCTTGCGAAATTGATCGGACATTCAGATATTTGTATACCATATTTAAATTTTCCACTGCCGTACGATTCCCTGGAGCGAGAAATATTCCCAGAAACGAATCCGAAAAGCAGTTGTGCTCCCAGAGAATGTACCTCGAAGTAGTACCTCCATTAGCGAATTTTGCATAAAGTCTCACATTTCTACCATATATAGAATATACGAGGGCTGACCATTTAATTCGTAGACTGATAGTGCCACCGCTCTCCCACATAAGTTTCAGCTAAATCCCTCTAGATTGCATTGAAGTGCATGTCTCAGAATACCCTCAGGCAGTTACACGTTGAGACTAGTCGCCAGTTGTCTGGAAGCGTCAATTGAATTGAGTGCCGTCAGTCGTGATCGTTTCATTTTTGTTTGGCGAGAATCTGCGCTCGCTAGATTCCATGCCATTTTGACATTTTGACAGCTGAACAAAAACAAAAACGTGCTGAAGCATGTGAGGCCATGTTAACACGGTTTGAGCGAGGTGAGAGATTTTTCAGTCGCATGGTGACCGGTGACGAGATTTACCATTACGAACCAGAAACCAAGCAGCAGTCAAGTGAATGGGAAGGATTCAGATTCACCGCGCCCCCAAAAGTTTCGAGTCGTCCGCTCAGCCGCGAAACAAATGGCACTCGTATTTTTTTTAATTGCAAAGGTATTCTCGTCACGCACTTGAAGCCACGTGGTACAACCTTAAATAAGGAAGCATATGTCGAAGTTTTACGGAAAAAGCTCCGCCGTGAGAGTCGCGAAAAACGTCCTGCGCTTCGAAATGATAATGGTTTTTGCATCATGACAATGCTAGACCGCACACTGCCGCTGTTGTGCGAACTGTGATCGAAGCTATAGGTGCAGAGGTGTTGCCGCAACCTCAATGGCGTATTTTACTGGGGGAAGGGGGGGCAGCCGCCCCCCCTGGCGCCCCTGGGACAGGGCTTGGCGCCCCCTTGGAGGTAATCCAGTTTCAGGGAGAGCATTTCGAGAAGGAAAAAGCAGCCGCGGACTACGACGGCGACAATTAAATGTATAATAGCTTCATCCTGCGAATTAAGTGATCAGCCCTCGTAGAAAGTTTAGAATCACCATCAGTCACTCAACCACGATATGCAGGGTAATTCAAAAGTCTCTCCCAATTTCCAAAAATGCATTTCTTCAAAAACGAAAGAAATGCATGCAAATCAAATATATAATTCCCTTATGATTCGGACGACCATCAGGAAGACAGGAAAAAAGGGCCTTTCCAAACGGAATTTTCCACAAAAAAGGGAAAATTTTCTCGTTCACATTCTCTTTAATGCAGGGCTTCCCAACCTTTTTCACGCGCGACCCCAAAAATCGCTTTCGTACTATTCACGACCCCATGCACCGGGCGAAGTTAGACAGGCTCCCCTCTTCCTATGCACTAAAATCGCAAAGAAAAACGTTACTTAGCATTTAGTTGCCGGTTCGCGACCCCAAATATTATCTTTGCTACCCCAAATGGGGTCGCAACCCCTGGGTTGGGAAGCCCTGCTCTAGTTTCTTTCTGTGGGGGAAAAAAAAAATTAAGGCCTCGAAGTTATAGTTTCCTTCCACTACCGTATGCGGCCTACAACTTATAGTGACTATCGTGGAATATGTTTTCTGCAGCCTTCTTCGATTCTTCAGACCAATCAGCTGGCAGTAGTCTCAGGAATTCCTGTAAGTCTTCACTCTGAGCAGCCTCTTCCTCTTCCTGACTGGCCTCCATGTTCAGTCGAATGAGGTGAGACGTGCTTCGAGATGCTCCAATGTAAACAAATTCCCTCTTCTTCACTCTTTGATTGGTGATCAAGAACACGATGGGGGCCTCCATGCCCTTAAAGAATCCTGCGAATTCAACAACGAGGCGATGGGTATTGGGTGAAACATAGAGTTTCGATTCCATTTTCTCCCTCAGCCCTTTTTCGTGGAAGTTGAAATCCCCTTGGTCGGCGAAGAGGATGGCAATGTCCCCGGGGGGTGTCCCACTCCCAAACTTGTCTTCTAAAATTGCCAGGATCTTTTCGGCTAGATTGGAACTGGAAACGAGAAAGTTTTGCACCTTGGGCCCGTGTATGGAGTGTCCCAGTCGGATTTCTTCTCTTTTATATCTGGTGTCGCTGGTGCTGGTTTCATACAATACGAAGTCTTCCTCGGGTAAGAGGTCAGAGCTCCAGGTACGGAACACGCATTCCGGGTTACGCAAGACAGTGGGTAAGTAATAACCACCTTCTAACTCCTTTTTCAACGAACCTGGCACATTTGAGAAGGAAAAGGGGTCATAGGCCCGCCAAAAGTATCCTCCTTTCTGGAGGGAACGAAGTGAGGTCAACAAGTGGTGTGAGAATGAGTCACACAAGTCTTCGGCTTCGTCGACGAAAACGTGGTGGAGAGGGGGCTCCTGGGTCTGGAGGATCTTTTTCATGTCCCCGAGTACAACGTGCTGCGTGGTTTCGGGTAGTTCCGCCATCAGGGTACGGCATTCAGATAACCGAAGACTCATTCCCAGCATTGAATGACCCACAGATTCTTCATTTATTAGCTGGGTCAGGAGCTTCACTTCCTGGAATGCCATGAGTCTGATGCTTTCGTTCAAGATATCTAAGGCCAAAGACCTACGGACCAAAGTCTCGGGAGTGAATGAGTGGATGAGACGTCGAATGATCTCCGTTTTGAGTGCCCATATCCGCTTCTTTTCGTGCGGGAGTGAGGCGAGAGAATTTTGTAGAAATTGATAGAATAGGAATATTTCCCAAGTTGCAGACCGGATCCTCGAAGTCAGATTCGCTTCGTGGGATCCTGGTTTGCCCTTTCCCTTCCTCCTCGAATAATCACTATCCCAGACTTTATCCTCGAAACCCATGCAGCAGATGATGAGATTTTTTAGTATTATCTCTCTCTGCTTCTCATCTTCTTCTGGTGTTCTACATGCGTATCTGCTGAGCATGGCCATGGCAGACGCGAGAAGGAGATCGGGAAGGGTCTCAAAAAAGTGATTCCACAGATGTTTATGATTACACATGATAAGGATCTTTTCGTCCTTATCCGGTACAGGTCCATTGGAGAACCAAGACATTGCGATGTTCCTCATCTTTTCCTGCAGGAGCCAGGTCTTTCCGGTTCCAGCCGCCCCAATGACGACGGAGTCCTTGGGCCCGTGGACCAAGATGTCCAACTTGTCTGTGGTCAGGAAATTGAGAGTCTGCGTCGTCATTCGGGCCGTGTAGGCCGGGGTCGCGTACAGCGGGGCCACGTATCTAAGGAAAATAAATAAAGTCGTTTTTCCCACTCTTGCTCATAATTTTTAGGTGAGAATAAGTGAGAATTTTCTAAAGTTCTAAATTTAAAAATAAGTCTAAAGAAGAATTTTCTGCAAATAGAAATTGCATTAATATTTATAAAATGCAGAGAAAATGTATTTTCCGCGTGAATAGAGGAATAAATTAAATGTATTAATAATATGATGAAGGAGACTCTTAGCCACGCGCGATGAACCGGTAGTAGAACCCGCAGGTACAAAATAGCTGGCTTTCAACCACCCACAAATGGTATTTTTCGCTGCGATTTTCCATGCTTCATGCTTGAAAACGCTCTACTGGCTGTGAAATTTATTTTCAACCGACTAGATGTATTTCTTTGTGACATGGACGCATGAAAACGAGGGGCTCGCACAGTCCCAGTCACAAATATTTAAAAATATATAGGCCTGGACTTTCTTCTTCCACACAATGCTTTTTCCATGTTTGAATCATCTCAATTCTGGACGCAACCGTTCTCTCAAAATTCCAGAATCAATACTCTCACCTTCTTTAGTAATTAGTAATCTCAAAATTCCAGAATTACTAAAGAAGGTACGCCCATACGCCCTTTTCCCATATCCGTGTCCATGTGCTGCATTAGGTGACTAGTTAGAATAGGGTGGAAAAGGTTAGGATAGGGTGGTCAGCTAGTAGTTAAGATACGTATTCAACAAAGGAGAAGCATATTTTTCTACGTTCTCACTAAATAGCAGGCCAACTGCCTGGTAATTTCAATATCGCTGCCTCCATGAATATTCCATTAACGCTTGCATGCTGAACGATTTTGGTGGAAAATCACTGCTGAGTCATTTGGTGAATGGAACGTGTCCTGACTATTCACATTTTCATCGCTATTTTTCAAAAGTTTATTTGAAATCTGTAGATGCAGTTATTGATTAATTATTACTTTTTAACTAGAAAGAAGTGGTGAAAGACTCTTTGTAAAAAGTTTCAGCAGTGCAGATATAGAAAAAGGGCGTATGTGCATAAACACTTCCTGCCTGCATCCCAGCAATGTGGGATAAAGAAATTCGTTCAAACCTCAAGTTCAATTTGAAAAAGGTCTAAGATACCATTTTATTGATTATTCAGTTTTGACCAGCTTCAGATTAGCTATGGGACGTTTATATCCTTTATCTCGAATTGCATGTTTTGCCCATACGCCCTTTTTTTTTATAGAGAACTCCTCAATTGTGTTCTGCCTGCAGACGCAGTTTACGAAAACATATTCACCTGCAGCTCCCTCATTCAGCAGTTGCTTTTAGTGAAAAGCATTTTTTTGGACGGATCATTATAAATTTTTCGCTTTTTTTTCAACGAAACTTCACAAAAAAATATGCTACAAAAAATGTGTAAGTTTTATCTACGTGACCAATTTTCACCATAATTGGCTCTTCCTAAGGAGCTCAAAATGAACACCAGTTTCACCTATACACTTGGTGCATGCAGTGAAAGATATGTTTTCCGTACACGCTCAGGAGTTAACTTTTCAAGATGTGCCATGCAGGGAAAAATCGGATCATCCAGGGAACGTCTTATATGCTGAGTCTTCGAAAATCTTTCAATTGCACTGATTGAACTTGGTTGACATACTTTTGCAAGAACAGTTTTTATGGACGGCACCAGGTAACTAGCAATGGAATGCGTTCCAGGCCCTATATGCGCTAAATTCTAGTTCTTATTTTCTAGTTATCGTAACGAAGAAAGCTATTTATTCCGAAAAAATTGAGTAGGTGACATGAATCTCCCCACGAATCTCCTTCTAATCATTCTCCAGTGCTGACATATCAATATTTGTGAAAAATAAAAGTATCGATACCACTTTTACCAAAAGTACCAAACTTACATTGCTAGAAGTTGAAGATAAGTATTGTAATCCATTGAGAAGTCTTGCAGATGAGGTTTGAGGATGTGTTCCTCCCACCATTTCTCCATGTTCTCCGTCGACTTGCAATCTTCTTCGCAAAGGAAGACAGTGTTTTTACCCAGCGGTATACCCTTCACTTCATCCCTCTGCACATTCCAGAGTGCAATAATACGGAGGGATACTTTCGCTTTCTGCAGATTGCATTCTTCCATGGTGGTGTCCAGGCTGCAAACATCTTTCTCTAACTGTTCATTGGCAGCCTTGACGTTCCTCCTAACTACTGCTCTGCGGCTTTTCTGCATTTTCCCCTGCTGAATAAAAAGGCTTTTCACTTGTATGAAGATGACCCCAAAGTTGCGATGTATCAACAAGATGTCATGTTCTCCTGACATAATTTTCTCTAATCCACCTCCTACATTCCCTGTTTTGATAAGGTGGACAAAGTCACGGTTATAAGTGATGAACATTGGCCACTGTTTTTCTCGTCCTAGCTGATAGAGGCGAAGAACGAGGTTTCTCTCGGCCGCCTCTCCGGGCGTCTTGGCAGCCTCCCTCCACTCCTCTTCATTGTAAACAGGAGGGACCAGGTACGTTTTTTGCTCACTTTCCACAAGGGGATATGTTGCCTTAATGAATTCTTTGGCCTGGTCAATCCACGGCAATCCTCTTGCTGGTTCACTTCTGCTGATGGGGCTTACAACTGAAAGGAAAAACAAGATGCACCAATATTAATGATTCACTCATATAACTCAAAAACAAATACAAAGGATTCCTGATCTAATTATCCATAAGCCCAAATACACTCGAAGGGAGCTTTTGTTCCACATAGTGCATTTGGAAACAGTGGCATGCAATATATATGTACGGGGTTTAAAGTACTCGTAGGGCTGTATCGATGGCGGGTCTTGACCTCATACCCGTCGGCCGGTGCCGTTGCCGATTTTGGTCTGTGGATTGAGAAGTAACACGAAATCGCATTCTAATTCAAATAGGTCTGTTTGGAAGCCATTGGATGGTTATCAATGAGCCCCCCTCTTAAAACGAAAGAGACCATTTTTAGTCTAGCCCAGTCTGTTTGTCTATGTGTCTGTCAGTGGCTAGCTTGTTACCTATTGCTGCTGTTGAGAGCATTTAACGAAACTTCTCCCGCAAAACTAACACAAAAAATGAGATTACTTCCCTGTTATTTACCGCTATTTTCCTCCGCCGGTTCCTTCACCAAGGCTGAAATATAACTCAATCGACATTTTAGTCAGCAGCCAGCACGCCAGCAGGAGTGGCTTTTAGCGAGAAGGGAGGGCCGGCGCCTAGCCGCGTTCACATGCTCATGTAATCTTTCGCCCCTCCTGTGTATAGGCAGTGGCAGCTTGCAGCCCTGCCGATGTCCGATGGTGCAACACGAGCGGCTGCATACATCGGTACAGCCCTAGTTCGAAAGTTTACATTTTCATCTTCTTACCACATTCTTGTTCAGGGTGCTGGGGCTACACAATAAGCTAGATTTTGTCAGAATTAGAAATGTCTTCCCAAAGATAGGTCCGTTTTCCTTCCCCAATTATCGTCATTCCATCGGCAGGAGATACTACTTTAGTCATCCTGTACACACTTAGGAAGACTTGATTCTCCAACTCAACGGAATTCAGCACATTAATTTAAAAAACCGCTTCGTACACTAAACAGTTGTGATAGTGACAAACATTCCTTCTGTTTTCCAACACATACTTCCATAATGGCATGTCATCACAAATTATTTTATGGCGTGCACATTTGCTTAAGGGACTTTGCAAATAATTGGGCTGAATTTAACGGAAACGATAGTAATTCTAAGAATAATGGGAGTAAATTTGCAGTACTTCGCACATTATCCTATCATTATTAATTTACATCATTTTAATTTATTGCAAGCAGTGTACAATTACAACTTTACCCTTGTATAAGAACTGACATTATTTGAGAATGCGATGATTAAGCAAATATTACCAAAACTTTAGGGAATCCAACTCTCAATGGGTTTATACTGTATTGATTTGAAATTTCGCTTCTTGGCACTATCACCACAAGCACTCCAGGGACAAGCTGGGCGCTTTTCCCTTGCACTTAGATCAAGGGAAAATCTAAAACGTTGTATCTCCCATCACTTAATTGCTGAAGCAAAGACTCCATTCATGAACAGCAAGTATAGGCCAACAATGAACACTTACAAGCACTGTTAGGAAAAACTTGACATTTGGGGAGAAAATCTTGGCATGTAGAATGAAATTGACTGTCGCTCTTACATGTATGAAGAAAATAATTCGGAAACTTGAATATTTTTACCTTCAACTGGATGTGACGTTTTGAGTTCTGCATACAAATTTTCGGGAAGTTGTTCATCTACCCAAAAATGCCCTCTGGTGTGACCTAGGCGAAGGTCAAGAAGGTCTTGAAACCAAAGCTCATTCCAAATTCGGCAGAGGTCTTGTACTCCGAGCACAAATACGTGATCGAACTTCTTTCCATCCTCCTGCATTTCTTGCAGCTTCGGTATGCGCAACTTTGGGAGTTCTTTCGCGTCATTGTATTCTCTATTAACAGCTCCTTGCTCAACACAGGAGACTGTTTTTATGAGTATTGCCTGCAGACGCGAAATCAGTTCAATCAGACTCTTTATTTCTCTCTTTTCAGGACTAGCATTTCCATGAATTGAAGACGATTCCTCAGAGAGCATTTCCCTCGTTTCGGGATTAGCATTTCCATGAATTGATGACGATTCCTCAGTCAGCATTTCCCTCGTTTCGGGATTAGCATTTCCATGAATTGAAAACGATTCCTCAGTCAGCATTTCCCTCGTTTCGGGATTAGCATTTCCATGAGTTGAAGACGATTCCTCAGACTCTATATGAGCATGTCCAATGTTCATGTTACTTCCGTCTGCATTGATGTTTAGCTCTGGAGGGAACAATCTCGTTATTAGAAGGAAAAGTAACTCTATCTCGTTCAATTGTGAAGAAGACTTCAACTCCCGGGTCACAGACTTCTTGAATTCGTCAAATGAAATTTTCGTCTCTTCCATCTGCTTCTCCAGATAGTCATCAATGAATGAATAATCTTCCTGAGATTCTTCATCCGGTTCGCTCATTTCAGTACTATTGTTCCTTTCCATGCAGTACTCTTGGTCAATAAATAAAACGTCAGGGTAAAAAAGGTTGAGTGCATGACTGAAAACTTGCATCCAGTATTTCAGCTCTTTTATAAGGCTTTGCAGTAGTTCCTTCCTTTCTAAGGGCTTTTCCTGAGGTGTAGACTCTTCCCCAGTATTTCCAATGGGTTCATTCATCTCGTTACATGAATTTCTTCTATTTGAGTCCTCTCGGTCACAAAGGAAGACGGCAGAAATGAGGGATTCCTCCACTTTTATGGGCACTTGACAAGGTACAGAGTCTTTCTGAGAATCTTCATCGCTTTGAATTTCTCTACTTTTCCTGTGTTCATTGACGGGCACTTGGTCAAGATCAAAGACTACACTAAAATGACTGACGAGCTGTTGCATTTCCACCATACATTTCTGCAGTTCCTGCAGTTTCGAGGAGCCTTCACAAGATGATGGTTCACTTTCAGATTGTTTACTAAGTCTAGCCCTCTTATTTCCCATATTTTGTCCAACACTGTGCTCTTGATCTATGGAATACACTCCATGGATGAGGGGTTCGACTCTTTCCACAGCCTCTTCTCCAAGCACAGGCTCAACTTCAAGAGATATCTCATCCTTCTGGATACTTTCCTTTTTTCTTATCAAGTCCTTCACTTTTTCTTTTATTTCCATCAGGTTCCTGCACAGTTCATTCATTTCTGATAAATCTTTTAGAAATGGAAATTTCGCTGTTGGTTCGATTGCTCTAATCATGTCACCAACCATGCTTCTTGTGCAGCTGTCGAATTGGGCATTGGCAGACATGCCAGATTCCTCTGTCACCATTGACTCAATGCCACATGCAGGTTCTTTATCAGAACTCTCTTCATCTCGTCTAGTTTTCTTATTCATATCGATGGAGGAGAGTTCACAGAAGGTGAGGCTTCCCCGAAGCACAGTGAAAACCTTATTTTCCTTTTCCCATTCCTTTAAAGACTTGGCCTGTGTAGAATATGCAGCCATTACAGATTTCCCGATCCAACCTGGCATTGAGTTTCTCAGCTCTTCCATGACATTTCCAGTGGGACCAAGGATGAGGATACGCTCAGGCACAGTGCATATTTGCCTCTTGGAGAACCATTTCGTAATGATGTTCCGAACCTTCTCTTTCACCAGCGTCTGGGAGTTTGGGAGTCGGGGAGTCATGGAATCTAGTACCTTCATCTCGCATATGGTCGGCGCATTGACTAGCATATTTAGTTCCTCCTCTGTGAGAAACTGAAAGACTGTTTCCCCATTGTCCAAGGCTGGAGTCGCATATAGCGGAGCCACAAAACTTTGAAAATAAACAAAGCACATTTATTAACATTTGAGAAAGGAAGTTACGATACTCTATTAAAGAAGCTTAACTTATGAGTGCTAGGGGGAACTGGAGGATAGATGAGCAGGGACTTAATATGCGACGGTTCCTATTCAAGGTATGGGTATTGTTGCCACTGATAACTGTAAACCGGATATACAGTACAGTATTGACACCTGATTCAAGGACTCGAATTGTCCCTGCAAATGCGGAACATAATACCTATGACCCCAAAGTTAACAACCATAAAGGAAGGATTTCTGACATTGCTGGCAATATCATCACGTACAATCTATCAAATATGGTTGATGGGCTGGCGTTTTACTCCTGAGTGCTCGAACATACGAGATGCCCTAGTATCAGTTCATTGGACGTAGAATGTCGATTGAGATGCCCCATCCACCACCCTATTGACGCCTCAGGCAATTCCCATTTCGAGAAATCCTTGGCTTTTTCTGGTATATGCTTAAGTGCCAAAATGAAGGCCAGCAGAAATTCCAATCGACAGAAGATGTGCAGGTAGAAATTACACTTTGATGTCGCCAAGAATATGGGAAGTCCATCTTATCTAGCTCCAAGTAGGCGTTTCCCTTTTTCCCATGCAAAGTAATAACAATATCCATTCGCTGGTTCTTGAAATACAGGCGATTCAGAGCGTACCAACAAAAAGGGAGTGCCGCCAAAACTGTACGGGCGCATTAATCCAAATTCAGTATTGTGCCTCATACAGGATGGCTGACACGATGCGCACGACCAAGATAACTGCATTAATCTTTCCTGTTTGACACTCGGATGAGTTGCTCGAAGTGCCCGCCGTGCCAATCTGTGAACAGGCACGTGATATTGATCGAAACCCAACAACTGCACGGTTCGCATTCTCCTGCGACCGGGAACGGTGAGTTCCTTCTCTGGCTGGCTGTGCTGGCAACCTATAATTAGAGCTTGGTTAACCATGTGAACTGCGCCTATGCAAACCCCCCTACTCCGTTGTTTGTCTAGCGTCATCCCGTCCTGGTGATATGGACTTAGGATAACACTAAGACCTATCATGGAGTAGCACCGGTTCAGTTGTTGCCAAATCATTCTCTTGCATCTGGCCCTATTGTATGTTTAACACTTAATGTTTAGTTTCATTCAGTATTTTTTTTTAATATTATGTAATGATATATAGGCAGTAGGCCTAACTTCGTCTTATAAAAGGTTAAATGGAACCATCTTATGCCTACTAGTCATGAGTTGCCATGAAACTACTATTTTCTTTAGCATTCCTTCGCAAAATGCCCTGGAAATGCTATGTTCCAAATTGTGACACCGGGTATAATACATGCAATGAAATACTTCACCAGTTTGCAATTCCGAAAAGTGTGGAAGAACTTGAAAAATGACAAGATCAACAAAACAGAGGACTGCTAATTGTAGAAAACTGGCACGCTACACATCAGGTGAAATGGATTCTCCGACTTGACATCAGTCAAATCACTAAATCAGATAATTACGAATACATTGGCTTATAGTTGGGCAGAGCCCTCGAAACAGTCGTCTCTAAATATCGGTGCACAAAAATCGTAACATCTCCTTTTTGTTCCCGAGTAATCTGGGTCGAAGTATGAAATACCTAAAAAAAAATCGTGATCTTCCAGATTTTCAAATAGCACGCAAAAAGATTTGAACGCCACTTTGCATGAAGATGCAACTAGACATAATGCAAAATCGTATGTATGGATTTCTCGCCTACAACGGATTTGGGAGGAGCAAACGTGAGGCGCAACGAGACGAGATTTTCGCAAAATTCGATACCCATCCCCAACCCGTTTTAGCATCATCGAGAATATTAATCATTGTTTAGAACAGAATCTAAGAAAAAGAATGAGACTAACTTCAAAGTTCTGCGAGGAACGATGCCAGAGATAAAAGCCCTGAAGTCGTGAAATCAATTCGAAATCGTGACCTTTGACCCTACTTCTTGTCCACACCGATGACCTCTGAGTCTCGAAAAGTGGCTCTTGGGCGAGGTCCCTAACAATAATTATAAAGCGAAATTTCGATCCATAGGGGTCAACTTTTATCTTTTATATGTATCTAAAGTGAAAGTTAGTTAATGAACAATTCATTAAAATACAAACTCCCTCCAAAATAGCAAACCTAATTGATAAAAAAAATTATTGTCCAGGAGAGGTGAAAGGTTCATATTGTGAATGCGTCAAGGAGCACAAGAGGAACGAAGAGATGAGAGGTTCTTACATAGCCAAAAGGGTGCGGTGAGGTTCCTCCTCCAAGTTGAATGTCTTGTTCTTGATATGTTGTTCCCACCAAGACTCAAACTGTGGTTTGGACTTGCAGTCCTCTTCATACAGTACCAGGTCATTTCCAGGTTGCTGTTCTTTTTTTGGAACCTTGGGAAATGCGACGACGGGGAAATGATGAGAGAAGCACTTATTCACTTGCGTCATGCCAGCTTCTTTCATCAATACCTTCAGATATTTCAAGTCTTTCTCTGCATCATCTATTTTTTTCTTGATGAGATGGATTCTTTCACCCGTTTCTTCCAGTTGCTTCTCATCAAGGTAGTTGACCTTCAAGAAGAAGAAACCCCGGCAACGATCTATGATGATTATATCGTGATCGTATTCCTCAATATCTTCCAATCTCTCGTATAATCCACCGTGGAAGCGACATTTTACCAACTGTTTCACGTCTCTACTGTAGATGATGAACATGGACTCTCGAACTTTCTGTCCATACTCGAAGAGGAATGAGGCAAGGGATGAATGAGTGCCGTTACTTAATGGTGGCACGATTTGTGTCAATTTTTCCGTATCTGGGAAAGTATTTTTAACGAATTTCCTTGCAGCCTCCAACCATACCTCTGTTTCAGCCAAATTTCGATCCATTGTGTCAAGCAAATCTTCATATAATGCTTAACAATTTGTTCAACTTCTAGTTCCATCCAGCGTGCGACTACAAAACACTAATTTTTTATTCACTTGTCATTATTATCACGCACACATTGAACGCGTCCAAGAAAAGCAGGTCACATCTACACAACTGGCGAAAAACACAAGTCACTGTAGCTAACTTGTGGCCGATATGGTCCAATAAGCGCCATTTCCAATTTGACCCAATGCGAGCCCAATAAGGAAGAGCTGAGGTCCTGGAATGAGAGTCCCAACCTTTCCCATTTTCTTAGGACCGGGGCCTGTTTCACTCTCCATTTGGAGCACTACTAAAATGAGCAATAAATTCTCATTATTTTGCACTGCTACCGCTAAGCACATGCCAAAATAACGTCATTCAAAATATCGCATCTTGGTACATAGGGAAGAACTCTTGATTACCACGAAACATATACCGGCATAACAACTTCATTGCATTAGTGTTAACGAATAAATCTCGGAAAACGGCTGCGAATAAGCGTTGCTGTAAAGAATTGCATATCCAAACAGCATGCGATAGCACGCAAATGACCCAGGAAGCAAACTGAAGTTATTATAGGTCGAAGCATTCCAAACAGACCATGGCATGGGCAACTTTAACCCTTTCACGTATGAATTTTTCAAGCAAAAAGAAAAATATGCCTTTTTTGGTTTAACGTTTAACACATTGACGACAATACACGTTTTTCGTTTTTTCGCGCGTGGGACAGACCCTTTTTTTTTTCTTTTTTTGCGTACGACCCACCGGTGGGTCGTATTGTCCCATATGGTAGTTTTTTTTCCTCGCTGTAATAAAGGTTCTATTTTCCGTGTTTTTTAAATATAAATTTCGGGTTTTTTGTTATAAATCGCGAACATTAGTTGCGAAATTAATTTTTAAATTTAGTTTCCCCGTTTTCAGGTAAAATGTCTAAAGAAGAGCACGAAGAGCTAAATGTCAGTTTTGACCGCCTTCTGATTGAAAGTGGAGAAGAGGAAGAGGCTGATGAGCACGACGACAGTGCCGGATGTTTGGTAGGGGTTTATGATAGTTCAGAAGAAGACGAGGAGGAAGATGATGACGACGGCGACTCGGATTCATGGTCAGACACTGTTACTGTACATGATTCCTGGAACTTTGATGACAATTGGGGAACGGATCCAGGGATTTTGGCAGGATGCAAATATCCAATCGATTTTTACTGTCTGTTCTTGAACGCGGATGTTCTCAACCTCATTGTCGACGAAACCAACAGATATGGACAAGAAAAAGATCAAGCGTGGGTGCCAACTGAAGCTGAAGAAATGAAGAAATTTTTTGGCTTATGTCCTCAAATGGGTGTTGTCAAATTGCCAAAGCTGCGGGATTACTGGAGCTCCCCGACAAATAAATATTGAAACCAGATTTAGCTTGCCCACGATGTTTACAGTATTATTGGGGGACTATAATCATCGATTAATTGCAAAAAATCGCGGGAAATTATTAAAAGCGCAGAAAAAAATCAATTAAAACTGATACGACCCACCGGTGGGTCGTATTGTCCGACGCGGACAAACTGATACGACCCATCGGTGGGTCGTATTGTCGTCAATGTGTTAAGGAGGTACTCTGCCGTAGTAGTCGCATGTTTCACCGCTAGAAATCTAGGTATGTGTACTATGACGAAAAAAAAAAACATCATCATTTGCCGTCCACTATAGTAGACACCATGCGTGAAAGGGTTAAATAACCCCCTTTCCCATAAATATAGCTACGAAAATAAGTCCCTCAACATGGCGATATGGTCTTATAGTGGATGCATTCAGTTGTGACCCCGAGTCAGGACCGGAGGGTCTCAGTTCAACGCTTGCATTGAGGCTTTAAAATAAATTTTACTTCATAGTGACACCTCTTGTCAATGTCATCAATCCTGGGTATAATAGTTTTTGAAAAGCACCGCAACTGCCGAGAATCATGAACCTCGAGTCATGATCCGGGTCACAATTGAATGCGCCCAGTGAAGCATGGGAGATGATTTACAGCTCTATTCAAAGGTTTGCCATGTCCGATGATAATACATTCACTGATAATGTATCAAAACATGACATGTGGTAATAAAATAAATGCACTTAACTTTCATAATAAAAGCCATCAATTTCTTAAATGGAAACTTAGGAGCCAACCCTTGCAAGGGCTGCTTATCGTCCTAAGATTGAACCTTGTGTTTCCGTCATTTCTTTCCCTGAGCAGAGCTAATACCTGGTGGCCCAAAAAAAGTCCCGAACTTGACACGCCAGCAGACGGAATACCATATGAGCTATTGACAGGAAATTTGCAAAGTTTCCCATCCAATGTGTGCCGGTAATGTCACAGATATTTCAATGAAATTGATTGCTAAATTCCAGAGAAACAATTTTTCTCGATATCAAAAGGGCGAGTGTATTAAGTATGAAACTTTTTTCGGGAGGGGGGGGGCACCCGGTATTAGCTCTGCTCACAGAGAAAGAAATGACGCAAACACAAGGTTCAACCTTAGGGCGATAAGCAGCCCTGGCAAGGGTTGGCTCTAATGATGGCTTTTTATAATGAAAGCCAGTTTATGCTGAATGTAACACCCTCTTTTACATTACATGCTGAACTGAAAGCTTGAATTGAGAAATTGTGGCCTCTGTCTATGACAACACAATAAGAAAGTCAATCAACCAATGGAAACCGTCTGCGAACAGTTGCGGACCGGAATGGAGGACGCGATCAAACACCTCTCAATTGAGGTCAATCGCACATCTTTACACACTCACCCTTTTGATATCCCGCGGGAGAAAAACTGTTTCTCTGGAATTTAACAATCAATTTCATTGAAATTTTTGTGACCTTACCGGCACAAATTGGATGTGAAACCCTGCAAATTTCCTGTCGATAGCTCATATGGTGTTCCGTCTACAAGCGTGTTAAGTTCGGAACGTTTTCTTGAGCCACCCAGTATACAGTAAGCATATGCCTCACCTGCCCATTTTAGTGGGCCTCCTTTCCTGAAAGAGACCACTTATGGTCCCGCCCTGTCCGTCCGTGTGTCACACTTTGGTTGTCCAACGATAGCTAAAAAATATATGGGCCTGTTCAACGCGAAAATTGTCAAGCGGGTAGATTTGAACAAGATACAGCCTGAGTTTATTTCATGGTGAATTTGCACCAAAATTGGCATTTTGATTGCAAATTTTGGATTTGAAATGTAGTCACGGAGGGAACGGCATGAGTATCCGTGAGCCCTTCAGGATCACAGTGCGCATGCGCGTACGGCCCAGGTTTTGGGCGCGGCGCCGTGTCAGCAACCAGAGCTCAGTTCCCTACCAAAATTCGTGGCGGGTGGATACAACCACGCACAGCCTCTCATCCTCTCATGGGCACTGATTGTCCATGTCTACCAAATATAAATGAGAAATAAGGTTTTTGGTGGTCGAAGACCGGAAAGAGATGGCATTTTGTTCAATTAGGTGACAAAATGATGGGTTTCCTTAACTGAAAGGAGGCCCACTACTGGAATGGGATCCAATTTGTTAATATGTGCCATTGAAATTTTAAGCGCTGGTAGAGTATGTGCTCTACCAAAGGGTATGATCTACCTGCCACTCTTCTAGAAAGGAAGGCACTTATGGTAGTTTAATTTAGTTTAGCACATTTGTTTGGCTAGATTAGTTTTTTTCTCCCATTGGATTATTTTGTGATGCTTCAACAAAGGTTGTGTAGGTGTTACTTCATAAAGTTGACAAACTAACTGGTAACTCTCACTTAATAAGTAACCGAAAGTGACGAAATCATAGTCAATCATAGATTTGATATGGAACTTTTCGTTTCAGATTAATGTGGTGATAAAAACAGAGATTAAGAAAAGGGATAAATATTAACATTTTCACTAAAAAATGTATTAATCAATTAAACCCAAACGTGACGAACTCCTGAATCTCCTCCTGAACTCCTGAGTCAAGTGTCCTAACTCTGATTTCACATCAACATCATCTTTAAAGGCATTAAAATGACATGGGGATTCAGACAACCAGCTTTCATACCCATTAAAAATTTCATTATTTCATTCTGAGTCTCCTGCAAGACACTTCACAATTTAAATCTATCTTTTAAATAAATTTCATTCTTAAAATTAATTTTAAAAACATTTTTATCTAACAATGAACTCTAATCAGTTGCTACAATGGGCAACCTGTCTCCATCAAAATGGGAAAGTAATTGGCTTCAATAACAAACTTTAACATAAGTTACATATTATCATTACACCAGCTCTTGGAACTTCCACTACTTCTTGATTCAATATGTTATCATCTAAAGAACCATATGAGATTTAACTGGTGCTGAATCCATTCTGTCACAGACATTTAAAAGTTTGAGCTAACATAAACTTACTGTACTTACCCCACCTTCACATCCTAATAAAGTTAATTATTCCCATTAAATTTTCAAAGGGTGGAAATACCTCCCAATTCTTCTCCCAACTGCCATGGGACCTTCCCTTCCCTCTCCCCCTTCCCTCTATGCTGAATGCAGTCAAAATCAGAAAGGCAGCACACTTGCCATTCATTAACAATGGTATTGGGAAAATATTTAAAAGGGCAGACTTTTATAATACACAAACAAGAGGCATTAAATTAAGAAATTCATTAATTTTACACCAGAATCTCTACCTGAACTTTGTAGATGCACCATTTAGCATTCCCATTGAAGGAAAAATGTGTCAAATTTTCCAGGCAGTTGCTTTACTCAATTTGGACAGAACATGTGAAGCCAGGAAGTAATTTTTTGGCATCCTGTAATTGAATCAAAGGTTGTGGCTGAGGGTAGAGCTCAAGTTGCTTGAGCTGTCCCCTCTATGCCTGCCACCTACTTGCAAAAGCACAGATTAGAACTGAATATATTCAATATATAAATGTCTGGAGTAGTGAGGTATGAATCAAACACCCTCAAGGTGTTTCTGAAGGACTCATAATTGAAGTAGAAGATATGAAATATTCCTGATTCAAGATTCCTGATCAGCTGCAGTTTTCAAGAGTGAACATCTTTGGATTTGGGCACTGATTCTACTGTTTTTTCAGTTCTCATCAACAAGGCAAATGCCTGACTCTTAGATTCTGAGATGTCTATGTGACAGGTTACAGTGGCACAGGTCTCAAGCTATGAAACACAGGGCTCAGTTAGGAATACTGATGGGGCAGTCAATTGAGCACCTTTTAATTGACTGTTATTGACTACTTGTTTTTTTTTTCAATGAATTAATAAATTCTTATAGAGCACATGACTCTATTTATCCTCTAGCCCAAAAACCAAAGAGCCAGTTCCATTTTAAAGTTACATTCATGCAACCTGCCAAACATCTGGACCGTAGCACCAATTGGGTATGAAAACATTATAGCTCAAACTATCATAACCTCTCACCTGGTGGGGTAGAGTGTGTTCACAGGCATACCCTGCTGTTCAAGAACTTACAACCTTAATGACTTTGAAAGTCAAGATTCAAGACCTAAGTTAAAGCTTTGGAACTTTAGTTTAATGCAAAGTCTATCATGGTCTTAGCCAATAGTCTGCATTAGAGCACCAAATAATTCTCTGAGTCTGTGATCAAGGGACAAGTAAACTTACTTAGATTATGCCTAGGTTTGTACCTAAAAAAATTAGCCTAGTCCAAAGAACTTCTATGTTGCCAATCGATGAGATGTTGACTGGTCAACAGGGTCATTTATGATCTTATAGTCATAAGACCTCACCTCTTGTTGATCTCATTGACCACCATTATTGTCTATAAATGGTCATAAGTGACCATGTTGACATGTCAACTTCCCATGCTCGGTCTACCACTTGTGAGTCATGACAGACAAATTGAGCATAAACTATGCAAAAAAGAAGAAAATATAGTAAGTTACCGCCGGCCGGGCAGGCGGGTTTTGGGATCGCCGACAGGTGTCATGCGAAATACGGTCCGGGCGAAATGGCGTTCTGTCTCTAACGTTTGAAGTCGTATAACTCTCGGCCCATTACCACAAATGGTCACATTAGTACTAATTCGTGTGGCGTCAAAGAAATACAGCAATAGTTCGTGGAGAGAAGTTCTAACGTGAAAAGATAGGTAGGCCTAAACGTTACGCCTCGCGAGCCCGTGAGACCCTCAAACAACTTTCACCATGAACTATATAAGTTGGCCTTATTGACCATAACTGACCATAGATGACAATATTGACCCATCAATTGACTGGTCAATAATCCATCCTAGTTGGGAATATGCCTGCAGTAAAGCAAATCCCCTACGCAAAGAAAACTCAGTTGCACATATTCAAAACGGGCTTTTCTCTGTGAGCTAAGCTAATGTAGGCCTATGCCTACATCAAGCTAATGTAGGCCTATGCCTACATTAAGCTAATGTAGGCCTATGCCTACATTAAGCTAATGTAGGCATATGCCTACATTAGCTAAGCTCACGGAGAAAAGCAATCACACAAACATAAGGTTCAACCTTAGGCCTATATGCAGCCCTAGTTAAGGATGGCTCTAATCTGTTTATTTAAAAAGAAATTGAATTTTTTCGCGACTGAAATCGACTTCTTAAAAGTAATAAAATGTTCAGTTTTATTTTTCCTGCCAAGTACCACCCAAAGTCATTTCAGAGGCCCGACAAGACCATGAGCAGGACAGGCCAAGAAAGTATATCGCAGAAATCTGTAGGAGGCTGAGATTGGCCCAATTTGAGGGAACAGCTGTTCCACGATAGAGGGAAATCAAGTGATTAATAACAGAACGAACGAATCTGAGTCAAGAAATCACCACGGTCCGCCTCTTTCCAGCAGACTCTGTTAGCATTACCATGCTTCTCTCACGTCGCCAGCTTGCGCCCCTTCCTCACTTCAATGCGAGTTGCGCTTCCCTCCTTCCATGCTTTATGAAACGTCAGCTTTCCCTACGATCATGGAGAGACGCAAATGAAATAATTCCAATGCAGTCTTCAGAGAGCTTATGTTCCCAAGAATGAAAAGACAATACACGAGAAAAAAATTAATTAAATAAATCAAGGTGGCCCCTTGACAGATAAGGAATTATGAAAAATAAATCCCACAAAATAATAATAAAATACTGCTCACTGAGTTCGGCATCGATTTTAAGTACCGCTAATACCTTCCATTCGCCTCAAAATCTTTATTCCTACTTCTATTAGAGTTAGAAAGAGAAGAAAATTAAATCCATGGTGGCTCCTAGACGACGACGAGTGAAAGCAGGGGAAAAAAAAAATATCGAATGAGCAAGTGAAAAAATTCAGTAAATTTCCTTTTTCCGCTTAGAGAAACTTCAATGTTGAGAACTTATTTTATTTCCAGACTTTCTCCAAATATAATAAATTATCATACTTGTGTTGGGAATCATTCTTCTTTCGTCACCACAAATTCCTAACATTGATGACATAGTGGTTCTAAACATACAGAATCTTCCACAAAAGCAGTCGAACGTACAGAGGCTCGGGGACCCCTTACAAGAATCTACAAGGAATGAAATCGCTTTAAACACAACTGAATTGGGGCATAGGCGGCGATTTGTTGAAAATTTTTTTTTTTTTTTTTGGGGGGGGGGGGGGGGGGGGGGGGAA